CACCAACGGGCCTAGGTGCGTGAGGCGAGAGGAGTGTGAAGAGCTCAGAGTTACCAGAAAGGGGAGGAGGTGGGCAGGTGGGCAGGTGGCCAGGTGGCCAGGTGGCCAGGTGGCCAGGAGGCCAGGAGGCCAGGGGTAAAAAGGGAAGCGCCCGAGAAAGGACGGGGAGGAAAGGAGAGATGAAGGCGCGCCCCCTAGCGGCCCAACTGCGCCAGAGTCCTGCCCCTCAGGCCTTAAAGCCCCGCCCCAACCCCGTGAGCCGTCTGGCGCAGGCTTCCCTTCTGTAGCGCGGCACTATAGTTCCGGCCGTGGTGCACGGGCGGAAAGTTTACGCGGACGGACTGCGCCGGCGATGGGCGCGGGGTGAGTGGAGGCGGCTGCGGTCTCGGGCCGTCCTTCGTTGCTTGTTGGAGCTGCAGGAGTAGGGGTCAAGGGTGAGGAACCACGCGGAGCCAGCGCCCGGCCTTTCCGCCGCCCCGCGCGGTCTCTGCGGCACCAGTTCCGGGCCCTGCTTCGCGGCGTCTGCTCCCGGGTTCCCCTCGCTCCGCCGCTCGGGGTCGTCGGCCGCGCGTAAACACCGCGATTTCGGCCCTTCCCTGGGCCCTGTTCGTCCCCTCTACCCATGAGAGACTTCCCGATAAAAAATTTTGTTTGGGGCTGATTTTAAGGTAAAAATACACCCCTCCAGCTGCGATTCAAATGCAGGCGTGCTGTATTTCCAGGCTGAAGGTTTCGAGATGAAGTTGTATCTGAGAACCTCAGGGCAAGGGAAGTCAGGCTGACTCAGAAACCTGAGGGTAGGTGAGGACCCGAACGTGAATGGGCGGGCGCCTAAAAATCCGAGTGGAATCAAAACTGCTGAGAACCAATTCTTTACGAAGGAGCCAATTGTCACCTGCTGGGAAGAATTGCAAATGTGTACTTCTGTGACTTGGCCCTAAGGCCAAATCAGGTGGCTAGGGTCTATTCTCAGCAGTAGACTGACCTTGAGAAAGGAGACCTACAGTTGTCTTTAGCCATGTATGTAAACAGTACTTATGGGGAAAGGCGGGGGTGGGGCGGGGAGGTGAGCATTAGCCCAAGTGAGAAATGCTTCGCGTTCTCACAAAATTGCTGGACTGTGGTGGGCAGGATTTTTTTTTTTTTTTTTTAATCGGGGCTAGATTGAGTGAATCATCCTTCAAGAACATGCAGTTCCCTCTTTTACTTCTGTGCTTACAACCTGGGTACTAAAATGGTTTCCCATGACATTGCCACTATTAAGAAGGTGGATGGACACACATGCATCAGTAAGGAGAAAGAGCCAGCACTCGAGGTGTTCGCAGAGAAGGCAGGACTGCCAGCCGTGGTCGCCCAGTGCGGTGTTACAACCGATTTCGTGGGATAGAGATGCTTTCGTGTACCTGATCTAAATCTTTGTAGCCTGTTTCTCAGTTTCCTCTAAGAGTTGAGAAAGTACTTCCCATAATCCCTAACTTTCAGTAACAGGTAGGCCTCTATGCATGAATAGGTCTACCCATGAGATTCTACTTGTGGGAAGAGGCTTAGGTGTCCCTAGTATCTCTGATTGAATGAGGAGAGAAGGAAATGTGTTCCTAGTGTCCAGAGTTAAAATTTATCATGTGTTTTGCCAAAGAATTAATGTTACATCTGATGATGAGGGGTAGTCATTATGAAACATTTGTCTAGCTCACACTATGTGCCAGTTACTGTGATAGGTTCTGAGGAGACCATTGGTGGGCAGTGCCCTTTTATTGAATTTATGGCCTAATGTAGTATAGTTGAACCGATATTGTACAGGACCTCCCCTTTTGAACAACACAGCTAAGACCCAGAAAGGAAATAAAAAAGACTGAGGAGGTGAAATATTACCAAGTTGACACACCTAAGCCCATACATTTGATACGAGAAGAAACCCACAGACTCTGAGAGCCCGCTTGACTTTGGACGCAGTTTTTTTTTTAATTTTTTTTTCAACGTTTTTATTTATTTGTGGGACAGAGAGAGACAGAGCATGAACGGGGGAGGGGCAGAGAGAGAGGGAGACACAGAATCGGAAACAGGCTCCAGGCTCTGAGCCATCGGCCCAGAGCCTGACGCGGGGCTCGAACCCACGGACCGTGAGATCGTGACCTGGATGAAGTCGGACGCTTAACTGACTGCGCCACCCAGGCGCCCCAGGACGCAGTTTTAACAAGCTTGATTACCTGACTTTCCAGCCCATAGTAGCCAAGAAGCAGCAAATTAGAAAGAGGAGGATGATTACAGGGGATTACTGAGGAAAGTAGAATGCAAACTTATAGGCTAAAAATTAATTATAATTTTTTTTTCCACGTTTATTTATTTTTGGGACAGAGAGAGACAGAGCATGAACGGGGGAGGGGCAGAGAAAGAGGGAGACACAGAATCCGAAACAGGCTCCAGGCTCTGAGCCATCAGCCCAGAGCCTGACGCGGGGCTCGAACTCACGGACCGCGAGATCGTGACCTGGCTGAAGTCGGACGCTCAACCGACTGCGCCACCCAGGCGCCCCTAAAAATTAATTATAAAAAGACACCAAAACAAACCACAACAGCCTGGATACCTTGAATATAAGACATTGTTTCTTTTTTTTTTTTTTTCTTTCTTAAGGCATTGTTTCTGTGTATGTTCTATATAAGCCCTGTTTTTTGAGACCTTAATGATAATTATGTAGAAAAAGGTAAAATGGGAAACACAGGGTTAGCAAATTAAACTGAATTCTTTGCGCTGGTACTTTTCAACATCTTTAATAAGGCTGGAACTCATTTTTCTTGGAGCATTTCTCCAGAACAGTGTTCCGCAGCACGTACTTGGGGGAATGTTGGTGTAAAGAAACCTATCAGAGTACCAGGGTGTTAGGCAGTATTGGTGTTTAGACGGGTGATGCCAAGTCATCATAAGAGATAAATTATGTTCAGCACACAGTGTTTAATGAGGCAGAGAAGAAAGATACACATTTTAATTTTGTCTATCAAAATGGTGAAACATTTTGGAATTTTTTTTAAGTTTACTTATTTATGTATTTATTTATTTTGAGAGAAAGAGAAAGCATGAGTCAGTGAGGGGCAGAGAGAGAGAGAGAGAGAGAGAGAGAGAGAATCCCAAGCAGGCTCTGCACTGTCAGCATGGAGCCCACTCGGGGCTTAAACCCCTGAACCACAGATCATGTCCTGAGTTGAAGTTGGACGCTTAACTGACTGAGCCACCCAGGTGCCCCAACATTTTAGAATCTTGAGGAGTCTGGAAAAGTAATTTATATCTCTCATTTAATCTTTATTGATGTTAGATACATGAGGCATTACTGTATTTGAAATGTATCTCGGGCCACTATGTGGTAAAAAGGCTTTTCCTACTTGAGTCCCTGACTCCCATTTATAACATTGCTTCCCTGAACCAGTATGTTCTAAGTTCCCAGCAGCCTATGTAGAAATGGAATTTTAGAATATCACACATTAGCAGTTGGATATTTTAATGAAACAAGCAGCCTGGCTACTGTTAAGTGTGTTTAAAGAAAGTTCTAAAAAAGAAACTGATGACTTTTTAATGAGTATTATCCATCCAGTGTGTTCCCTAATTGTATATGCAGTATAATTTTTATGAAGTTGTAATCAGTATATACATAGAATGCTATGACCTGCTTTTCTCAGTTACTGGTATTTTGTGTAAATATTTTTCATATTTACATATGTGTCTTTTATTTATAGCTATATGAGATTTGATTATGTCAATAGAATGTAGTTTGCTTAGTAACAGTAGCAGCAAGCTGTGTCCCCATGAACAGGTCTGTATATCTATGAACTATGTTCTTTATTTTTGAGAATAGAAATGTTTTCTCCATTTATTCTGCATATTGACTTTTATACACAATTTCATGAGATAATGCCAGCTGTCATTCACATTCTTTAATTTTGTTCTTTTCCTTCAATTAAAGTACTGTTGCCTGATTTATGTACAGTGCATGCTACTGAGGGTGTTGCTTTTGTAATAGTTAATGATTTCCAGCTTTGTCTGATTTGGATTATGACTCTTCTAACCCTTTCATTTTTATATTTTGCATTCATTTTAATAAAAAAAGGGCACCAAGCAACACGATAATTAAATAAACACATATACAAATACTGCTGTATTCATTAAGATAGTAATAATGCCCGGGGCCCCTGGGTGGCTCAGTCAGTTGACCATCTGACTTTGGCTCAGGTCATGATCTCATGGTTTGTGAGTTTGAGCCAGGTATCTGTCTCTGTGCTGACAGTGTGGAGCCTGCCTGGGATTTTCTCTCTCCCCCTCTCTCGGGCCTTCCCCCCACCATGTGTGCCTCTCTGTCTCTAAAAATAAATAAATAAATTAAAAACAAGAAAAATACTTATGTGGTCCTTGATTTATGGCCATTTAGTGGGTGATTCTAGGAGTCTTCCTCACAGGGAACTAAGCTGCTTGCTTCCTTCCCATTGAACTCTCCACAGATTTGCCTTCACCTCAACTTAAATGTGGTTTGCCTTCACCCATTTCTGCAAAGTTTGGTTAAAATTATGGTGGGGTAAAAACAAAAAACAAAAAACCTTTTTCTCTCTGTGACATGTGAGACCTAATCATGTTTTATTTTCTACAGCATTTTTCTGTTCGTAGCTGTGTGTTTGCACTCGGACTGGGAACACTGGGATCACTTTCATCATGCCAACAGTGGTGGTAATGGACGTATCCCTTTCCATGACCCGACCTGTGTCTATTGAGGGGTCTGAAGAATATCAACGCAAGCACCTAGCCGCCCATGGTTTGACGATGCTGTTTGAGCACATGGCCACAAATTATAAGCTCGAGTTTACAGCCCTGGTGGTTTTTTCATCACTCTGGGAGCTGATGGTTCCCTTCACAAGAGATTACAACACACTTCAGGTACAAAAAGGAATAAGTGTTTGCAATCCAAGGCTCAAATTTTTAGGGAGGAAAACAGTGTTACCATATTGGGCTGAATATTTAGAATTTGGGATTATTTAATGTTAAGTTTATAGATAAAATATCTGTAAAACAAAGATTCATAAACTGTAAGCCTTATGCCTTTGGTAGAGCTATGAGTTCGAGCTGTGAGTTGTTACTTTATTTTCTTCTCTCGGTTTTCTGGAATTTTTCTGTGGAAAGGAGAGCATGTGAAGATGTAGTGCCCCATTTTCTAAAATTCAAGGTCTTTAGGTGCAATACTTGATTATTTTCTATTTTCCTATAAACCAAGTAGTTGAAAAATGGCCCTTCTTATAAAAACCTTTATTCTAGAGTAATTCAAAATTATATTTCCTCTCCAGTAAATAGCTTTGATTTACAGATGGCAAGAAAGTATAATTTTTAAACCTTAATTGTTAGGTGTCAGTTCAAAAGATGTCTGTGAAATGCCAGAAAATTTACTTTCTGACAACATCTCTAAATCATATTTCCAGCAGTACCTTGCATAGTGCCTTGCTTATAGTCAATAAGTGTTGAATTAAAACAGTTTAGGGGCACTTGGGTTGCTCTGTTCGTTAAGCATCTGACTCTTGATTTTGGCTCAGGTCATGATCTCAGGGTTGTGAGATTGAGCCCTATGTTGGGCTATGCACTGGGCTTGAAGCTTTCTTGGGATTCTCTCTGTCTCCTTCTGCTCATGTGCATGCGTGCGTGTGCTCTATCTCTCTCAAAATCAATCAATAAAAGAAAAGAAAATAGTTAATAATTGCTGGGTAGGTTAGAAATCCAGGATCGGTGTAATGTGATTTTTTTTTTAATATAAGTAATAACATTTTGTTAAATCATTGCTTTTATTATCTCACTTTCTTAATGTTACCTAAAAGCTTTTTAAAAATTGCACTGGATTTTTTTTTTTTAAGTTTATTTATTTTGAGATAGAGAGGGAGCGAGCATGAGCTCAGCACGGAGCTCAACACAGGGCTCGACCTGGGGCTTGATTCCACAACCACATCATGACCTGAGCCACCATCAAAGGTCAGATGCTTAACTGATTGAGCCACCCCAGCACCCCTGCACTGGATTTATTATAAATGAGTAGTAAACTAAGAGTTTTCGGATGTTCAGTAGTTTTGAAATTTAGAGAATTACTATCTAAGTTGTTCATAGTAGTGATTAAGACCAGGAGCCCTAGAGTCCAATTAAGTGGGTTTAAATCTAAACTCTGCCACCTCTAGGCATGTGACCTAGGAAAGTTACCTCATCAATCTGTACCTCAGTTTCCTCATTTTAAAAATAGGTTAATAATCTGTACCTTACAGTGTTGTGATAATTAAATGCATGTAAAGTGCCTAGGTTGATGTTTAGGATATAGTTACTACTCAATTTTTGTCATTTTTTTCGGTGTGTTTAAAAGTTCTTCATTTTAGTTACTTTCTTCAGGGTTCCCTTACAAAGCTATGAACTTGGTGGATTGTTCACTCATACTTGATAAGAGAATAGAATAAGGGGAAGCTGTTTTAATTGTCCTTTGTGGTTGAGGAAGCCTGTCTTAACATTTTGCTTTGAGAAACTATGCTTTTGGGCTCTCAGAAACACAATGTCCCCTGTGTAACATTCATGATTTGAATGGTTTATGTTGTTTTCTAATAACAGATTAAGACAGTAAAGAATAATGAGCAATTTTATCTTTTATTCAATTAGGAAGCCCTAAGTAATATGGATGATTATGATAAAACCTGCTTGGAATCTGCATTAGTTGGTGTTTGCAATATTGTTCAGCAAGAATGGGGTGGTGCAATTCCTTGCCAGGTAATGATCAATTCTTTTTCATTGCCCTAAGTTAAAACCATTAACCACTGAGGTGCTTCGATTTTCTTTAGGCTCTGACACAGCATGCATTGTAATTTCTATAAACTACATTATACACGATTGGTATCTTTTTAAAAGAAGGCACTAAGTCAACACTACCATGCTCAGAAAACAGCAAAATTATGCCTTGAGGAAAGCATTCTCCTAGTAAATTGGCTTATTGCAAACCAATATTGTTTGTATAAAACACGAAGTGCTCACAGTTGAATTTTAGAACACTTCCTAGAAGGGGTAATTATAATTTTGAATGATACAATTATAAACATCAGTACATTATACTCTGTCTTCATTATCTCACTGTAGCATTTGTTTAGCAAACTTAACCATCTCAACTGAGTTGTCTAAAAATGGGGGGAGTATGAATGTCATATATCTGTTGCCCTTTACTTAGAGTCCACAGCAGGGTCCACATTAGCATCAAATCAGAACAGAGTATTAAGATGAAAAGAGAATTGGAAGTTTGCTATAAATATTAGGTACAGACATACCTCAGAGATACTGTGGGTTCGGTCCAGACTACCAGAATAAAGCTAATATTGCAGTAAAGTGAGTCACATGAAGTTTTTGCTTTCCCAGTATGTATAAAATTGTTTATACTATACTGTAGTCTATTTAGTGTATAATAGCATTATGTCTAAAAAAAAATACATATCTTAATTTAAAAATATTGCTAAAATGATGTCAACTGAAAGTTGTAATCACTGACACAGATCACCATAACAAAGATAGCAATGATGAAAAAGTTTAAAATATTGCAAGAATTACCAAAATGTGGCACAGAGACACGAAGTGAGCAAATACTATTAGAAAAATGGCACCGATAAACTTGCTTAGTGCAGGGTTGCCACAGACCTTCGATTTGTAAAAACTGTAATATCTGTGAAGCACAAAACAAAAACAAAAAAATACAACGACGAATATGCTTGTGCTTTGAGAAGTGGTACCATATTTTAAAGGAGAAAACAAAAAATCACTAACAGAAAAATTATAGTAATCTACAACAGGAGTCAGCAAGCTTTTTCTTTTTCTCTTTTTTTTTTTTAACTTTATTTATTTAAGAGAGCGCATGCACACACATGAGCAAGCATGAGCTGGGGAGAGGCAGAGAGAGAGGGAGAGAGAGAATCCCAAGCAGGCTTTGCAGGGCTGTCTCACAAACCATGAGATCATGACCTGAGCTGAAATCAAGAGTTGGACACTTAACCAACTGAGCCACCCAGGCACCCCAACAAGCTTTTTCTATATTTTAGATGTTGCAGATGTCTGTGACGACAACTCATTTCCACTGTCATGGCATGAAAGCAACCATAGATAAAAAGTAAATAAATGAAAAGCCTGTGTTGCAATAAAATTTTATTTACGAAAACAGGCAGTGTGCCATAGCATATGATTTTTTATTATATGGTCAAACATGGATTCTTTAGTAGTGTCAATGGCATAACTGGTATTTATTTTTTAAGATTGTGGTTGCCTGGGGGTGAGGGATGGGTTAGGGGATTGACTTAAATGAAGCACAAGGGAGAATGGAAAGTGACAGGACAGAACTAGCCTTTATCTTGATTGTAGAAGTCGTTGCTCACTAAAGGCAGTTGTTGGAATTCCTAGAACTGTATACTAAGAAGGATGAGTTTTATTGCGTGTGAAGTCTGTCTAATGAACCCAACTTTTTTTTTGGTTTTTGGGTTTTTTTCTTACTGTCAAACCACCCTGTTTTACAGAGTATGAACTCATGGGTTAATGAAGACCCTGAGCTGCTACTAAAGGTTAAATCGCTTTAGCAAATGCCATAAATGCCTTTAGATCAGTTTATTTTCAGAAATAAACATATTTGGTACCTTCATAAACATTTATTTGGTAAATCTGTGCATACAGAATTTCTAATGTCCTAACAATATACTGAATAAATGAAATTTTGTTGTCAGTATCTTCTGAACTAGAAGCTAGCTGGTAGCACAGTTTCCTTTGCTACTTCAGTCATTTTAGAGAAGAAATTCAGAAAATATGTAACAAGCAAGATCTTGTGTACCATGCAGACTTCTGCCTTTTAATATTTTTTCTTCCTTTGCAAAAGGAAGAATCTGAATTTGAGATGTACTGTACCCTGAGGTCATGGGGCTAGGCCTGGATCCACTTAGATTTGTTTGATGAGTTTTGGAGTGAATCAGGTCCAAAACAGTGTGCTAGGTGTGGAAGTTATTAGTGATTGTTTTTATAATCCGTTGCTATCATATAGATTTGTTTTAACATGGAGTTTTATTAACCAAGGTTTTAGACAGCTGGACTATGTCTTCATTATCTCAGTGAAGTCTGTCTCATTTTGATATTACATGAAATATTTCCACTATCACAAAGCATCTGAAAAAAGTAGGGGCAGAAGTAAATCATTATATAGCATTTGTTCATAGAAGAGGACATTGCCTTGTAATAAACTATCTTCCCAAAAGATGACATCCCTCCAGGAGACTGCCATTGAGCATTCTTGGGCTTTAGAAACAAGGGCCAATCTTGGTACTTCACATGGTTGCAGTCACCTAATACTGCTTTAATGGCTGTTTTATCAAGTACAAGTCTAGAATAGGAAAAGCCAAAACAGTCCTCCTCTGGAATGCTTGGAAAGTCTACCACCCTGTAGGGTCTCTGAAGCAATGAGGAAAATGATTTGTAACCACTGTCTATTGTTGGTATAGTTGGAAGGCTTTTTCAAATTGCAGGTTGATTAAGAATATATTTTAAAGGTCTTATACATGTCTGGTTAAATGGCTTTTATGAATACATTTTTAAAACAGTTGTCATTTTTAAAAACATATTTTTAACGTTTATTTATTTTTTGAGAGAGAGAGAGAGAGAGAGACAGAATCTGAAGTAGGCTTCAAGCTCTGAGCTGTCAGCACAGAGCTCAACACGGGGCTTGAGCCCACGAACCACGAGATCGTGATATGAGCTGAACTCGGATACTTAACTGACTGAGCCACCCAGGCACCCCTGAAACACTGGTCTTTTTAATTGACCAGGTAGAGTTTAACATCTCTGAAAATAGTGTCAAGGTTCAGATTTCCTAGGTCCACGTAAAATAGATCCTCATGTCATTCTTGATGTCCAGTGCCATAGGGGCCCACCCCTTAGCTAAGAGATCGAGTTCTAGTTTTAATACAATTAAGTAAGAATTGATTATATGATTTTAAGTATTCATAGGTAGGTACTAGTTTTTATGTTTAATTATATAAAATACAGTAAAATGCATAGATCTTAAGCACGTAGTTCCCTGAGTTTTGACAGATACATACACCTATGTAACCACTATTCCAGTATAGATCTAGAACATTTCCGTTATCCAACGAAGTTTCCTCAACCCCCTTTCTAGTCATTATCCGCCTATACCTGAAGTCTCCTGTTTGATTTATCTTAGCTTTGTTGCATCTGTACTAGAACTTCATATAAATAGAGTCCTACATTGTGTCATCTTTCACTTGACAAAATGTTTTTGAGATTTATTTACCTTCTTGCTTATCTCCCTGAAGAGATGGGCTTTTCAGTGTAGGTGCAATTAGGGAGAAATGAAAACATTGCTAAATGAGACTGCTTTAAATAAATATGTTATTTCATGTACAAACCTCCTCTCACACTTTGCAAACAGGTTGTTCTGGTGACAGATGGCTGTCTTGGCATTGGTAGAGGGTCACTGCGGCATTCCCTAGCTACTCACAGTCAACGAAGCGAGAGCAACAGGTTTCCACTACCTTTTCCTTTCCCATCTAAGTTATACATCATGTGCATGGCAAATTTGGAGGAGGTAATACCAAGTTCTTTTTAGTTTGGTTAGATACATCTTAGGATTTTATTTTTTAGTATATTCCATTGATAGTAATATTGTGTATACTATAGCATTGAACTCCATTGGTTTCAGCTGAGGCTGGTCACTAAATTATATTTGAAAAGACTCTAGGTCTGTAATGCTCTTTGGAGGTTTAGAGGTTGCCCATCTCGGGAAACATAGCTGGACTTGTTGTTTTGTCCTACTTCCCACAGAGATTCTTCAGATGCCTAAAAGTCAAAATGTTCGTTTTGGTGTTAAGACATTTCTCTCGTTTAGGAATTCTTATGTCCATTCCACCAGAAATGTTGACAGAAGTGTGCTTGAACTTTTTCAGTAAAGTAACACTACTGATACATGTTTTATTAAACTCTACTTCCTGCTTTTCTCATTTCTTTGGGAAAGTTAGTTAACCTTTCTTCACCTCAGTTTTTCTGTCTGTAGAATGTAGATAATGATGGTTCTCACCAAAAGATGTTAGAAACGCCTTGGAGGAAAGAGACTGTAAATACCAACTGTGGTCACTTCTGAGAATCTTTGTAAAACTTTCTGAATGAAATAGCTCTCCTGGTATCATTTTATATAACATTCCTCTTAGTAACCTTGAATCAAAATTGTTATAGTTATTTTTCTGTCACATTGTTAAAAAAATCATTTCTATTACTTATTGGCTGTGTTATTGTGATGGGTTTGACCTTGGTGTGCTGATAATAATCTGTCATTGTGTGCCACTTTACAAGGGTCATCTGTTTTGCCTTGTAGCTTCAGAGTACTGATTCTTTGGATTGCCTTGAACGTCTCATAGATTTAAACAATGGTGAAGGGCAGATTTTTACTATTGATGGCCCCCTGTGCTTGAAAAATGTACAGTCTATGTTTGGGTGAGTATATCCTTTGAGCTTTTTTTGCCTTCTTACAATCTGTTGTTATAATTTGATATTCCACTATAAGATCTGTTTCATTATTTCTAATTGTTATTTTATTTTGCCCGAGTTGCACAATTGTCAGGTAAAAATTAATGGTAGTAGTGATTTTTTAAAGTTCATTCCCTTTTAAATTAGGCATGACTGAATCAGTGATGTCTATAGATATTGACCTCCTTACAACGACTCAGCAGTTTCAAAAGATTAATTTGCTTTTGGGCTATTCAGGATTGAAATTTGCTCACCAAAAGTGTCAGACTTTGTTCTATTTCACAAATGGTCAGATCATAGTTTTGGAATCAACTTGAAGGGAAAATAAACTTAGCATCTTGAAAAAATTACATGAAAAAATATGTATCATATTACTCTTCTAATAACAATTAATCCTCATATTCTAGAAAACTAATAGATCTAGCATATACGCCTTTCCATGCTGTTCTCAAGTGCGGCCATCTAACTGCTGATGTGCAAGTCTTCCCCAGACCAGAGCCTTTTGTTGTAGATGAGGAAATCGATCCCATTCCTAAAGTCATCAACACAGGTAATGTGTTTTTTAACTTCCTTCTTAGTTCTTCTGTCATCCTTACTTTCTTGTAACTTCTGACTTCTACTCTTCTCTATCCAAGAGGATTGAAAAGAAATGTAAGTTCTCATACCAGGGTGCTGTTGTCATCACCAGTATGTATATTTTGGGTGGGAGGAAGCATTGCCTAAGGGGTGGCAGGCTGGTAATCTTTCATGGTGAGGTCATGAATTAATCTCCAATCCTAGATGACTATAGCCCACAAATTAAATAGAGTTAGAAATCATGACCAGATTTACTAGTGATGATATCCTTGAAGTAATTCTTAAGAGATGCTAAGATTGATTAGCATCATAATTAAGATCATCTGTGAAGAGCTAGCTTCTAAACTTGGCTGTGTGGTTCTTCCTGTGTGATGCTGGACAGATCACTTCCTCTAATTCTGATTGCCTAGGTGCATGGAAATCTTTAGATGAATCATGGTCTCTCTGAGGTCTCTGCTCTGATATACTGTACCCCTTTAGCCCTGATGCTTATATTATGACTAAAAGGAAGAGATGTGCTACTGCTTTTACCTGGTTCGTGCTGATAGTGCTGTGCTTAGCTGAGATTGGCAAAGTGAGTCAAACCTAACAAGAGTAGAGAGGAGAGTTGTCTCCTATTGGTAGGTGTACCCCTCGAGGTGGTGGGTGCACATTATATCATCATTGTCCTCCCTTCAGTGCCTAGCACAGTATCTGATGCTTATAGGTGTTTACTAGATAATTGCTCAGTCAACAAATGATTAAAATTAAGTGCACAGTAAATGTTCATTTCACTCATGGGTGTATAGATTTGAAGGAGTCTTGAGAGTGAAGGGCTGTGCAAAGGCTTTTTATTTTTTGTGTCTTTAAGCTCCTGGCTGTCTGGAAGTAGGGCATCCCTCTCTCTCACTGTGGCTCCTACACTGTGTTAAGCTGTGTCAAGTGTTTTGTTGCCTTCAGACCATCTAGATTCTACTCCCTCCCCTCTCTTTTTATAAGTACCTTTCAATTGGTCTTTTCTTTTCCATATAAACTTTTGGTCCAAGATCTTTGTCCATAGCTTATACTCCTTTTAAGCTACTTTAAAATGCAGGCCTTGTGCTACTCAAATGAAAAATATGTGACTGCTTTATGCTGATTCATTTGTTACTAAGCTGAAGAAGGTAATGACAACAACTCTCCAGAGAAGCAGATTTCCTGGTGTGTTTGAAGTACAACGTACTCACTGTGACTCTGATTTTTTTTAAAAATCGTTTTGAGAATATAGGTATGTCTGTGCCTAGAAGAAAGACTTGAAAAGCAATTCAATAAAATATTAAGAGAGGTTTCCTTTGACGGTGAAGAACGACTGACTTTTCTTCTTTACAATTTTTAGTGTTTTTCCAAGTTTTTCTATTTATATAATCAGAAAATAAACTTAAAAAAAAAGTACTTTGGGATAAAACTTTCATTTTTTACCTATTAGGTTTTCAACAAATACCCATGGTCTTTAATACAGCTTCTATAAAGCAATCATTGTCATGGTTATACTGCTACCTTGGGTTTATAGATAATATATTTCTTTCTCACAGAAATGTTTTTAATGATAGTTTTACTGTCCCAGGATGGCAGTTCCTCCTGCGACTGTGGCTTGGTGGACGTGCTACACTGTGATGCCCCCTGCTGACCAGAGCATCCCTGACTAAACAGGGATTCAACCTTGAAGCTTTCGTCTTGGCTGGGGACCTAGCCTCATAAAAATAAAGTCTAGCTGATTTGTCTTATAACTTAAATCATTAAATGAAAGGCATGTAGTATTATTTCTTCAGCTATTTAAAATGCAAATTATGAATCATCCAGAGAAACTTCTAATAACATTCCTAGTCAGCGCATCTGAATTCCTCACCTAAGTACTGTATTTGTGAAATCTAGTACGTAGAAAATAATGTACTTCCCTATAGCATGAATTAATTGTGTTGATTCCATTTTTTTTCAGATTTGGAAATAGTGGGATTTATTGATATAGCTGATATTTCTAGTCCCCCAGTTCTGTCCAGACATCTGGTCCTACCAATAGCACTTAACAAAGGTGAGTTCTTTTCCTATTCTGGTTATAAAGATGAAGCACCTTATGATCTGAAGAATTGGGGGAAAGGAATAGTTATTGGATCGGGTTGTTTTTTTTTAATTTTTTAATGTTTATGTATTTGTTTTGAGAGAGAGAGAGAGAGAGAACGCATGAGCAGGGGAGGGGCAGACAGAGTGGGAAAGTCCCAAGCAGGCTCCACACTGTCAGTGCACAGCCTGATGTGGGGCTCAAACTCACAAATCTCACGGTTTGAGATTGTGACCTGAGCTGAAATCGAAAGTCATATGCTTAACCAACTGAGCCACCCAGGCACCCCTACTGAATTGGATTTTTTAAAAATGGAATGGGGGCCTGGGTAGCTCAGTCATTTTAGCATCTGACTTTGGCTCAGGTTATGATCTCATGGTTGGTGAGTTTGAGCCCTACATCAGGCTGTCTGCTGTCAGTGCCAGGCCCGCTTTGGATCCTTTGTCCCCTTCTTTCTCTACCCCTTCCCTGCTCACATTCTCTCAAAAATACACATTTAAGGAAAAAAAAAAAAAAAAAAGGAACGTCTTGGGCACCTGGGTGGCTCAGTCAGTTAAGTGTCTGACTCTTGATTTCGGCTTAGGTCAGGATCTCACTGTTCATGGGTTTAAGCCCCATGTTAGGCTTCATGCTGACAGCATAGAACCTGCTTAGGATTCTCTCTCGCCTCTCTCTGCCTCTCCCTCCACTCACATGCGCATGCTCTCTCTCTCTCTCAAAAAATAAATAAGCTTAAAATTTTTTTTATATAAAAATTGAATGTTGCCTAATATACTAAGAAACTGGTTCTGCTGTTTTAATTTCACAACCATAAAAGGAACCTTTTAGCTGTCAACCCCTAGCTTCCCATATCCCTCAAGCCCAGGTAACCAGTAAATGTCTTTTTTGTTTCAATAGATTCACCTATTCTGGATGTTCCATATAAATGGAATTCATATAATATGGGAAAATGGGTTTTTATATGGATAGAAGAAAACCAGAATAAGAATTTTTCTTATTTATTCCCATATAAGCAATTTATAAGCAATATTCCTTTATAAGCAAATACTCTCCTTCCAAGGCTAGAAACAGCCTAGGAGTATAATTGGGGTCTGGGAGTTTTGTAGCTAATCTCAGTCTGACCTGTTTTCTTTTCACAGAAGGTGATGAGGTGGGTACTGGAATAACTGATGACAATGAAGATGAAAACTCAGCCAATCAGATTGCAGGCAAAATACCCAACTTTTGTGTCCTGCTCCATGGCAGCCTAAAAGTGGAAGGAATGGTGGCAATAGTTCAATTAGGGTAAGAAACTTTGTTTACCTTTGGTTGAATGAAAGGGAGAATCAATTTACAAAGCGAAGGATTTCCTAGACTCTTCTGAAGGAAATAGAAATATTCTTGTCATCTTTTTCCTCTCCCTGCCATACCCTTCCCACCTACCATCACCTTCTAAACTGCTCTTTAAATCATCCCCTAAAGTCAATATAGAGTGAGCCTTTTTTTATTTATATTGCTTTTATATCCTTTCTCTATTTTCCTCTTTTCTATTTTTATCTAGGAAATCTGGACTTAGTTATAACAGTGCTACTGCTTACTATCTTATGCAATATTCACAGCCTCCTTAGCTATAAAATGAGGAGGTAGAACTAAATGAAAAAAGATGCCAAGAACATTGGTTGAACATTGTATTATGTGCCAGGCACTCCTGTAGTCACTTTACATGTATTAATTCATTAAATCCCTCACAACAACAGTTGTATATAGTGTTATCCCTATTGTATAGATGAGGAAACTGAGGCTTAGGGAGGTCAGGGAACTTGCTCAGGGTCACACAGCTTGTAAACCGAAGAGCCAGGGTTCTTATGCATTCTGACTCCAGAGCCCATGCTCATAACCACTGTGCTATAACCCTTCCCTATGAGGAAAACCTTTCTAGCTTTCACGTGTGCTGCAGTCTTGAAATTTGCAAAGCCATCTGCTTCCCTCTCTATAATACTTATTGTTAGGAAAGAAGAAGTGACTGATCATCTTCTGGCCATCACCTGGGGTTGACTGGTATAGAAGATGAAGAGATTAGGAGTACTCAAATGAAGCTCCATTTCTACTTGAGTTAAAATTACCTAGTCCAAAAAGAAGAATACAATTCTTATTAGGTATTAATTTGCTGAGTTACTTGTACTGGCTCTGAATATGAGAATCCCTTGGGGCCCCTTGAGAGGCGGGAACGGAGTTGGGTGATGGCTTTGTGCCCTTTGTTAGAAGTACTCCCTGTGTTGGTGTTGCTGTGAATGACTCAAGGAGGCAGCTGAAACATAGGTTGCAGCCCTTACTCCTTCCGACCTCTGTGGCTATTTGCTGCCCTTGTGATTTTTTTTTTTTTTTAATGTTTATTTTTAAGAAAGAGAGACAGAGTGCTAGAGGGGGAGGGCAGGGAGAGAAGGAGACAAAGAATCTGAAGCAGACTCCAGGCTCCAAGCTGTTAACGTTACAGTCCCAGGCTTGACATTCTTCTGGTCTTCCATCTTCTCTCCATCTAGTCCTGAATGGCATGGAATGCTCTACTCCCAAGCTGACAGCAAGAAGAAATCAAACCTCATGATGTCTCTCTTTGAGCCTGGCCCAGAACCTCTCCCATGGCTAGGGAAAATGGCACAGTTGGGTCCTATTTCAGGTATAACCCAGATCAGATTTTACTTATCTTGACTTTGTTTTCTGTCTACTATTCTGAATGGCTCTGACTGTGTAGTCAGAGAGCTGTGTGATCTCCCTTAGGGGTGTGCTGTGGTCTCTGATGCTGGATATGTGCATGGAGAACCCCAATAGAATTTGATGTTTGAACTTTTAACTTTATGTCAAGGAAAACCAACATTTAGGTTGCTTTAAGTAAATGTAAATACTTTCACTGCTTAGGGTGAAAAGATACTGTCTATAAACTTTTTTTTCTCCAGTGCACTATTTTCAAACCAGGTAACCTCAGTCATTCCTAGAGAATTTAATTCCCTTCCTTCTGGAAAGTGTTTTCCCTCACCTTTCCTAACATTACATTCTCCTGGTATTTTCTTGTCCTTGTGTCGTTTTCTCTTGCCTCCTGATTTTCAGAATGCTGTTTGCCTTCTTCTCTTAGCTTATTATTCTCTCTTGATTATCTCGTCAACCATTACAGCTTCAGCTTCCCCTAGATCCATCACTCTGGTCCTACTCGATCTCTCCCTGGAACTTGCATATTGTATTTCCAGTTCCTAGTTGGACCTGTCCACCTAGATATTCTGCCTTAGTACTAAGCTCAGCATGTTTGTTACAGAAACCAGTGTCTCTCACCCTTTCCCTCACTAAATGGTTACTTCTTCTGATTTCCTTGCCCCTACTGATGGAAGCCTAAGTACTTCTAGGTACTCAGGCTCCAACTGTAGAGTCATCCTTGACTTATTTGGGCCCATTTCAATTTCAGGTACATCTACCAAGCAACCTTTCAAGGGATAAAAGAGTTAGCAGGAGTTAGTTGCTCAAAGTCTAGTGGAAAGTGGAATAATAAACATAGACTGGTACAAGATCAGAGTTGGCTTTAATGATCATCTCTGCCAGAGAACTCAGGAGAATCTTCACAGAGGAGGGACACCTTAGCTGGAGTTTGAAGAAAAAGATGTACTGAGCTGATGAAGGCAAAGGGGGCATCCTGGACAAATGGAACACCTATAGAAAAACAAATCTGGAACACAAAGGATGAGGGTAGTGGTGGGAGGGCCAGATGTTAGGTTAGAGCTTGGCAATGGCTGGAATAGGGCAGGCTTCATTTGAAGTGTGAAGAGCTAAAACTATTCTGCAGGTACTAGGAAGCCACTGAAGGAGGTGCATGTGAGAACAGTGGAGATACCAGTTGGGAGACTTTGTGTTCTGGGCAGTGGAGCCTCTGGAGTTGTGCAGTTTGGCTGAAATTAAGCGAGAGCTAATAAATTTACGTTTAGAAAGATAATACTGTGGAGTGTGGATTTGGAAAGGTAAGGGCATCCTGCAGTTAGAAGTCTACTGTGACAGTCCTGGAGATGTAAAGATGAGAGCCCAGAACAGGGCAGTGGCTGGGAATAGATAGGGTGGGGATCCATGCAAAAGATATTCAGGAGGTAGAATCAACAGTCTTTAGATATGGGTAAAGGAAATGGAAGTGTCAAGAATGATCCCAGGTTTCTGAACTAGACTGCAGGGTGAAAGGTGATACTGTTGATTGAAAGAGAGAAAAGGATTCCTGGGTGGCTCAGTTGGTTGAATATACGACTCTTAATTTCAGCTCAGGTCATAGTCTCATGGTTTATGGGCTCAAGCCTCGTGTTGGACTCTGTGTTGACAGCACAGATCCTCTCTCTCCTCCCTGCCACCTCAAAATAAATAAAACTTAAAAAAAAAAATGAACAGAACAGAGGAGGAAGAGTAGGTTTGGGAAGACATCTTTTGTGCATTTCGAGTTTATGCCTATGAGATTTAAGTGGAGGTGCCTAGAGACAACTCCTGGAAGAGTTCTAGAGAGGGGGCAGAGTTGGATATATAATTTTTAGTTATAAGCATATCATTGATAGTTAAAATGGTGAAAATGAGCATAAGCTTAAGTAGTGGTTCACACATTTGATTTTTCGTATACATAAATAAAAAAAAAAAAAACTTGTTTAAAAATTGTTTCCTGGGCCCCACTTAAAGATGGGGTAGGACTGATTCAGTAGGTCTGAATTCTGGCCTAAGAACTTACAATTTTAATATAACCCAAGTGATAACAGTCCAGGTGATCCATAACCACACTTTAAGAAGCCCTACCCTCAGGAAGGTGTGTAGTTAAGGCAAAAAAAGAACCAAGGACCAAACCCCTAGGAAGGACTAACTGGTGGGGACAGTGGAAAGGGCACTGGCTAGTAAAGGAAAATGAGAAGGAATAGGCAGAAGGAAAAGTAGAAAAAAGTGATGTCACAGAAACCAAAACAATAGAGAGTCAAGAAGAAAGTACATTGTCTCATGCACATGTAAGATACATGACCTACATACTCTGTCTTATACATATGTGCATGCATATATGCACATATATGCCTAGAAAAGAGTTTGACTAAATATACACCCTAGATGCTAGACCAAGAGTCAGCAAGCTTTTTCAGTGAAGGGCAAGATAATAAATATTTTAGACTTGGCAGGTCATGTGCTCTCTGTTATAACTCCTATTAACTCTGCCATTATAGCACAGTACATAAATGAATGGGAATGACGTATTCCAATAAAATTTTCTTCATGGACACCAAAATTTAAACTTCATACAATTTTCGCGTGTCATGAAATATTATTTTGATTTCCCCCAACTATTTAAAAATATAAAAACCATTTGTAACTCAAAAAGAAGGCCATAGTTGGCCTGCTCTTGATCTAGGATGCAGGGGCTGGTGTTTTAAAGCTTACACAGGGAAAGAGAATATGACTTTGCTTCCAAATAAGATAAAACTGAAAACTCTGAGTAAAGCTAGGAATGTGGAACGTCTACTCCCTTAGTGAGAGGATGACAAGAAAAATTCTACCCATTGTTTCTACCTGCTTTTCCAGATATTATAAAAATTAAAGTCTCCTGGGGTGCCTGGATGGCTCAGTCGAGTAGCTGACTCTTGGTTTTGGCTCAGGTTCATGGGTTTGAGCCCTGCATTGGGCTCTGCACTGGGCTCTGCGCTGACAGCGCAGAGCCTGCTTGGGATTCTCTCTCTCTCTCTCTCTCTCTCTCTCTCTCTCTGCTCTTCCTCCTCCAAATAAATAAATAAACAAACTTAAAAAATTAAAAGTCTCACGAGTCCTGCACCATGCAGATTGACACTCCCAATTCTGAAGTGGGGATCCCCAAAACCAAGCAATGCACTAACCCGTTTCTGAAGCAATGAAACCTATGGTGCAACCTCCGGAGTTAATATAATGGCAACACAGGGCATAAAGACTTGTGCAGAAAAACCATCCTCGCTGAAGATGAGTTCCTGATTTGAAGAAAAGCCTTTAAATTATATGAGCATTATATCTCCTTTGAATGGAGGCCAACAGGAAGATTAGGATTGCCACCTTGAGAACTTAATGTGAAAGAGGCCACAGAATGTTGTAAATGACTAAAGAGTTTTAGGAAGGAATGGAAATGAAGAGGAAAGAATCATTTGACGTCGACAGGACATTTGTTGTGGCTTTGTAAGAGTAGCTTCAGTCGTGGTTAGACAGGAGGCAAGTTGAGGAATGAGTGAGAGATGAGGAAACGAAGATGACAAGTTTGCCACAAGAGGAGAGAAGTAAGGCAGTAATTGGAGAGCACTGGGCGCAAGAAGCCATGTGTATGTGTTAGGGTGAAGAGATTGCTCACCTCCTGGTCTCTGTAGCATTCCTGAATTTATTCTACCTTTTTGTTTGCACTGCTCTTGCCTTGGTCTGGTTTTCTTTTACCTTTCATTTAGATCAAAGGTCGGCTAACCAATGCCTGCTGGCCACACTAGCCCACTGCTTGTTTTGTAAATAAAATTCTACTCTAAAGGTTTATTACATGGTCACATGCATTAATTGATGTGTTATCGAGGACTGCTTTCCTGCTTCAGTGGCAGAGTTGAGTAGTTACAACAGAGACCATATAACCCACAGACTCTAAAATATTTACTGCTTGCCTTTTTGCAGGAAAAGTTTGTCAACCCCTGACCTAGACTTGTGACATTCTCATGCAGATACTTGTCGATGATCTAAGATGTAGCATTTAAGTTCCTTTCTAATCTAGTTTCCAATCTAGTAGTGCTTGGTTTGTTACACATGTTCTTTATTCAAATTGAACTGCTTTTTACTTTGCCCTATATTCATTTTTTTCTCCCTCAGGGTCTGTTCTCTTCAAATGAAGATAATAAGAGCTAACATTTTGTTGAATTTAACTTTATACCAGGCACTCTGCTAGACAATGAAGTGTGTAATCTCCTTTAATTCTCGTGACAGTCTTATGAGGTTAGAATTGCCATTATGACAGCAAGTAATAATTGATAATAAAACTTACCTTAGTGGGTTGTTGAGAGAATTTATTAGAGAATGTGCATAAAGTGACTGACACACAATAGATATATAAATGGTAGATCCTGCTGTTTTTATTGTTTTCTTTTCCTTTTTTTAAAGTATAATGTACACTGTTAGTTTCAGGTGTACATTATAATGATTCAACAATTACATTACTCAGTGCTCATCATGATAAGTGTACTCTTAGTTCCCTTTATCTATTTCACCCATCCTCCCACCCATCTCCTATCTGGCAACCGCCAGTTCTCCGTATTTAAGAATCTGGGCTTTTTTGTTTTTCCTTTTTCTTTGTTCATTTGTTTCTGAAATTCCACACATGAGTGAAATCATATGGTGTTTGTCTTTCTCTGACTTATTTCACTTAGCATTATACCCTCTAGGTTCATCCATGTTGTTGCAGATGGCAAGATCTTTCTTTTTTATGGCTGAATAATAGTCCCTTGTGTGTGTGTATATATATCACATCTTCTTTATCCATTCATCTATCAAAGGACGTGAGTTGCTTCCATATCTTGGCTATTGTAAATAATGCTGCAAAAAACACAGGGGTACATATGTCTTTTCAAATTAGTGTTTTCATTCTCTTTGGGTGAATACCGTAGTGGAATTGATGGATCATATGATAATTCTGTTTTTAGTTTTTTGAGGAACCTGCATACTGTTTTCTACAGTGGCTGCACTGATTTGTATTCCCACCAGCATTGCCCAAGGGTTTCTTTTTCTCCACATCCTAGCCAGCACTTGTTATTTTGTGTGTGTGTGTTAATTTTTTTTTTTTTTTTATTGTAGACATTCTGACAGGTACAAGATGGTATAGCATTGTGGTTTTTATTTGCGTTTCCCTGATGATTAGTGATATTGAGCATCTTTTCATGTGCCTGTTGGGCAGTTGTATGTCTTTTTGGAAAATTGTCTGTTCAAGTCCTCTGCCCATTTTTTAATTGGATTATTTGTTTTTCTGGTATTGCATTGTGTAAGTTTTTTATATATTTTTAATATTAACCCCTTATCAGATATATCATTTGCAAATACCTTCTCTCAATCAGTAGGTTGCCTTTTTGTTTTGTTGATGGTTTCCTTTTCCATGCAAAAAGCTTTTTATTTTGGTGTACTCCCAATAGCTTAGTTTTGTTTTTGTTTACCTTGCCTGAGGAGACATACCTAGAAAAATATTTCTATGGCCTATGTCAAAGAAGTTGTTTTTATTTATTTATTTATTTATAGTCACAGCAAGGCATGCAGAACAATACCATTGTTTACACCTTTCCCTCCTACTTCTCATTCTGTTCCTAGAAACAACCACTAACAACTTATAATTTGGGGATGGGTTTTTTTTTTGATATTTACATTTCTAATTAATATACATATATAATTATTTCTTAACTTTTTTTTCATTTTAAATGTCATATTTTTGACTTTTTAAGGTTCACTACTTAGCTCTCTTATCAACACCGTCCCAACCCACCCCTCCAAGAAGCACATTTTCCCTTTCTGTATCCTTCCAGTGCGGTTATAGTGTTCTTGGTTGTTCCAGAGTGGTTATAGTGTTCTTGATTGTCCTTGTTAGACGATGTGCTAATTACACCTAAGCCATGTGGTGTATACCAAGTTACATTTTGTTTTGCAATTCCTTGTTCTCTGCCCCACTTTTTTTTTTTCTAGCAGGCAAAATAAATGTGCAGGTGACCCTTGAATAATATGGGGGTTATAACTTTTAACTCCTCCAAAACTTAACTATTAAGAGCCTACTAATGACTAGAAGCATTACCGATAACAAACAGTTAACACATATTTTGTATGTGTACTATATAATGTATTCTAGAGAAAAGAAAATGTTATTAAGAAAACCCTCAGGAAGAGAAAATACACTTACAGTACTTGTATTTATGGAAGAAATTCTGTGTGTAAGTGGACCTGTGCATTTCAAACCCATGTTGTTCAGAGGTCAGCTGTATCCTAACATGAAAAGGAAGGCAATAATCAGAGAGACACTCCGATCTCTGAGGTTGCTCAGAGACTTCAAGAAATAACTGGGCAAGCAGGCTCTGGGGGTAGCCAGTGGCAGATGAGGGCAGTCCTCCCTCAGGGCTCTCGTGGCCTTCCTCTCTACTTAGTTTTTCTTTGCTCCTTTTTTTGTGTACTTACTGCTAATTCCTACTTTCCTACCTTCCAGGTACATTCTTCCAGTATGTATTTTTGTCAGTTTTTTCTTCCCCTTAGTATCATTTCCCTTCCTCTTGTTTCATAAAGTGAATTGGTTGTTCTCGAGGCCTGTTGGAGAGCTGTCAGCCTTCCCATCTCTCCTCTGGCTCTCCTGTTTCATGACTCCTCCTGAGAAAAGGATACATGGGAAGTAGATGTTTGAAACCTTGCCTATTTGGCAATGTTCGTATTTCATCCCTTACACTCAGTTGATGGTTTTGTTGGAGTTATGGGTTTGGAATCACTTTCCCTTAGAGTTTTGAAGCATAGCTCTATTTTTCCTTTCTGGCTTCCAGTGTTGCTGTTAAGAGTCTAGTGCCATGCTGTCAGGGCTTTGATGCTCTGTTTTCTCTGCACTCCTGGAGGTGCTTCTTTGTGTCCCTTGTGTTCTGGATTTTCAGAATGATGTCCTTAGTTGTTGGTCTCCTCATTCATAGTGCTGGGCATTCAGTGGGCCCTTCCATCTAGCAATTCATGTTCTTCAGTTCTGGAAACATGAATTATGTCTTTGATTTTCCCCTCTCCGTATTCTCTCGTCTCCCTTTCTAGAACATCTGTTTATGATTTTTGTGTATAATTTTCTTCCACCCATTTTTCCATTTTTTTCTAATTCCTGCAAGTTATCTTCAGTTTTACCTTGCAACTGTCTTTTTTTTGTTGTTGTTGTTAATTCTGCTATCATATTTCTTATTTCTAAGAGTCTCCTGTTCTTTATTCATAAATGCAGTATTTTCTGTCTGCCAAGGCAGTTATCACATAAAGTCCCCAAACAATTAGAGGCAGTACAAGATAGACTTTGATCAGGTGTTGAAATGTTTGGTACCGATACTGGGTGCTATAGTAGGAAAGGGTCTAGAGAAAGTACCGTGTGCCAGGAAAACTTGGGACAGATCATGGAGAAGGTGGGATAGGATAGGACCTAGAGTGTAAGTTTATGGGAGGAACAGTGGCGTTCAGTGGTAGAAAACCTGTTGCTTTTGCAGCCAGGCCCAGCTGGGTCACTGTGAAACCCGTGAAGGTCCAACCTGTCTAACCCTCAGTTTCCTCATCTTTAATGGGACTGATAATATCTACCCTGTAGGGTTGCTCTAAGGAGAGAAGGTCTATATGTAAAATGTTTGACACATAGTTGGAATTTAATAAATATTCTTTATTCTGTAAGTTCCTTGAATCCAGAAAAATATCTTCTCCAGTCACACTAGCAGGTGCTTGCTACATGGTGGGTCGACCATATAGCTCATGAGTGATGTAAGTGAGTAAGGGAATAAATGAATGAGGAAAGGGGAGCACCCCAGGCAGAGGAAATAACAGAAATAGTGGCAGAGAAGTTGGAAATAAACATGTTACATGGAAAAAGACTGCTGGGACCTTGGCCTGGCTAAAAAAGTGTGTGTGTGTGTGTGTGTGTGTGTGTGTGTGTGTGTGTGTGTGTGTATGTGTGTATGCACACATACATACATACATACATACATACATACATACAAGTATTTACGGAAATAGGTCTGGAAAGCTGGACCAGTACTTCTGGAGGGGCTGGGAGGAGAGGGGACTGACAGGAGTTGTGGGGCCAGTATAAAACATTAAATTACTGACCAGATTGGGGTTAGAGAGCTTCTCACTCAGAGAAACTAGGCTAATTCCAGTTTCCAACATGAACATTTGGGCAAGGGAGTTAAACTCCCTGAACTTGGAGAAATGATCCCTGCTCTGTCTACCCCAGAAGGTGGTAATAATCAGGATAAAATGAGCCAGTAGATGTAAGTATGCTTTGTAAGTTTGTGGCAAAGTTTCATTGGCTCAGGAAGCAAATAGAAAAACAGAAATCCTTGTTTATTCACATGACTGAAAAACAACCTGGCTTTTAATCTTTGGAAACAAGAACTAATAAACTATGATGACCTGGGGTATGTTTCACCAAAAAATATTTTTTATGCTCTTTCTTTAATTTGGCTATATGTAATTTTCCTTTGGAATTTTTCTCAGTGCCTAGACTGATGTCCAACCCACGAGCCATTAGATACTTGAGGATATTTAAATTTAATGAAGATAGTAAAATTTAAAATTCAGTTCCTCACTCTAGCCACAAGTCAAGTGTCCAATGGCCGTGTGGTCTAGTGACTGCCATTTGATCATTGTAGTAAATTCTGTTGGAGAGTGCTGGGCTTGACTATATAGAATTGTATTATGTATTTTTATATATTTTTTAAATACGTACTTCAGTATTGTTGCATGTATTTGTATTATTCTCTCTGAACTCAATTTATAAAGCAGATAAGTGAAGCTTGTCTCTTTGAAAACATTAAGCTGTTTTGTTTTGTTTTTTTACCTACATGGGCCTCAGTTGATTGTTTATAGACTTCTACATCAGTGGCTTTCTATTACAAACAGATTCCCTAACCTGAGGGAAGTTAATAGATTTTCTTAATTAGGGAAGTAACAGGATGTAGAAGATTGAATGATTCAAAGAGCTTTTAGCCTAATTGGAAATGTAATTGATTATGTTTTGCCAGATATCATTTTAACAATGTCTTTTTCTTTTAAGATGCTAAAGAAAACCCTTATGGTGAAGATGACAATAAGAGTCCATTCCCCCTGCAGCCCAAAAACAAACGCAGTTATGCCCAGAATGTGACTGTCTGGATCAAACCCAGTGGCCTACAGGTAATACTACCATTCAAGTTGCTTTCCACTGGGCACAGGAGGAGGGATTCTGGCAAGCAGGCAGACCTTTGATTTGATTTTCCTTTCCTTTGATACTTAGTAATTCATTTACTTCTAATGTTTGTCATTATTTCCAAAAAAGAATTGAGGTGGCCTACAGTAAAACACGTATGCAGCAAAATCACTTCTTAGAAAATTTAGAGCAGTAAAAAACCTAGAGGAAGAGGAGAGACAATTGTGCCAGGAACCCAAGGCAAATGATAATTATATTTGAGCAATTTGGCTCTGAGCTTCCTGCTACCAAGGTCAAAAAAGCAACATGTAGGATTATATGGTTTTTCTGGTCTGATAAAAGGAAGCATGTCGGTTCTAGAGAGATACATTTTCCTGGCATTGAATTTCAGTGTAAAATTTTTGACATAGTGAGGCATTGACATAATGGGTTTTTATCTTTAACAACAGTTTTGAGAAAGATATAAAAATCTCTATGGGGTTATTTCTTCTGTCCCCACAGTAGAACCCAAGCAATGGCATTACACTTTAATCCTACAAACACACTTTCATGGGAAGCTAAGATGATACTGTCACAAGGTATGTTGCTTTCAGGCAAGGTACTCAGTGATGCTTCTCCTTCCACTGACATATAGTCCTTTCTGCCTGTTTTTAAAAATCATTTTTGAGCCTTTTTTCTCATTTGAGCACCATCTTCTTTTTCTTTGTTCCTCCAATGAATTCAACCTAAGCCAAATGAGAAGAGGCGGTTAGGCCACCTGACAAGGGAAATAGCTTTGGCTGATGGCACAGTTTCTTTTAGCCCCGTCTCCGTGGAGACTGGACACGTCCTGTCGTGGCTAAGAGGGTAGGGGTTTTGTTGGAAAATCAGGTTCTCTCTTTCCTGCCATCCTTGATCCCAGCACTCCCCTGTCACGAGGATTGCTGATTTTTTTCTTAAATTACTTTTTATATTTTGTTTTGGTCTGGTTGTATATATTTTTTAAGTTTATTTATTTTGAGAGAGAGAGAGAGAGAGCAGGCAGAGGAGGGGCAGAAAAGAAAGTGGGAGAGAGAGAATCCCAAGCAGGCTACACGCTGTCAGTGTAGAGCCCGATGTGGGGCTCAAACTCATGAAACTGAGATCATGACCTGAGCCAAAACCACTTAACCTAACTGAGCCACCCAGGCACCCTTGGATGAATTTTTTAATTGTGAAATACACATAACATAAAAGTTATCATTTAAGCCATTTTAAACCATTCAGTGGCATTTAGTACAACCATAATGTTATATAACCATCATCACTGTGCAGCTCTAGAACATTTTCATCACCCCAAAAGGAAACCCTTTACCCATTAAGCAAGTCACTCTACATTCCTGACTTCCCCCAGCCCGTGACAACCACTAATCTGCTTTTTGTCTCTATGGATTTGCCTAGTCTAGATATTTCATATAAATAGCCTCATATAATGTGTGGGTTTTTGTGTTTGGCTTCCTTCACTTAGCTTAATGTTTTCAGTGTTCATATATCTTGTAGCATGTATCAGTACTTCATTTCTTTTGATGATGGCTACATTTATCCATTCATTCAGTTGACAAACATTTGAATTGTTTGCGCCTTTTGACTATTGTGAATAATGCTCCTGTGAATATTTGTCAGAATTTTTTTTCTTTTGTTGCTGTGCTGTTGTCATAACTAAGAAATCATTACCAATCTAAGGTCATGAGGGTTTACCCCTGTGTTTTCTTCCAAGAATTTTGTAGTTTTTCCTCTTACATTTAGGTCTCTGAAGCATTTTGAGTTAATTTTTTTGTATATGGTGTGAAGCAAGGGTCCAGCTTCATTCTTTTACATGTGGATATCCAGTTGTCCTGGCACCATTTGTTGAAGAGAGTATTATTCTTTTCCCCCAGGTCTTGGTGCCCTGGCCAAAAAGCAGCTGGCCATAGATATATGAGTTTACTGGGTTTGTTTTTGTGAGACAAGTTCATTTCTGTCACCAAGGGGATTTATTATCAAACATTTTGAAGGAGGGAGGTGCTTTACTAATGTTGAACAGAACAGTGACATTAACTCACAAGAGATTCTCTGTTCCCATATTCATTTCTCTAAACATTTAGGGATATCCTTTTGTATTCTTACCCCTGTTACCACAGAATCCTTATGTTGAAATCTTTTTACCCTTGACAGACAGACGTACAGAAGATTTTAAGAAATGCAAGGAAACTACCTGAAAAAACACAGACATTCTATAAGGTAAGACTGTCAGAATTATAGTGGAAAAGGGTGGGTCCTGGGATGTGTGCCAAAAATAAATGGTTCACAGTAGTTATGAATGTGGGGTGGCCGAGTGAACATGGACAGGAATTAGAAATGTTTAGCTTATGCCTCAGTTTTTTCCTTGATAAAGTCAATAGAAATGATAGGTCCACTGCTGACCCAAAATCTAAGAAGTGGATGTGTTTAAATGGCCTGGTTCTGTGCAGAAGGGCTCCTCCGTATTGGTGCTGCTGTGAATGGCTGAGGGAAGGAGTTGAAAGAACCTGTGGGTCAAAGCCCTTAACCCCTGTCACCACTCTCCTGTGAGTATCCAGCCAAACCCCAGGCAGCCAGGATGACTTCCTGGGATGGTGATCTCCCAAAGCATTCTTACTGTACCAGAGAAGCTGCTCCCAGGAATGACTATTAACATTGCACTTTTATGAGTTGCAAAAGGACGGCCCTCTGGAATCCTGTCTAGCTGAATCCAGAACAGTTGGTGGAGGGGATAAAGTTACAAGGAGGGGAGTTGAGGGGGTAATTTAAGTACACTCCTTGTTTCTCCCCTGTCCATCTGGTGTTTGGCCAGAAATAAATTAAGTGGCAGTGTGAGGTATGCCGTGTTGTCACTTGTAGCCTAGCTACTAATATATTATGGTGCGCATAACGTACCCCAGGCTAGCATCTCTTCCCAGAGAATATACGTGCTACTCTGGGTGTTATCTCATTACCTTCATGTCACTGGTGTCTTCAAACCTAATTGTGTCAAAGAAGAGCAACCTTAATCAGAGTTCAAACAGCTGCTCAGTCCACCATGCCCTCCCTCCCCATGAAGCTGAGCTCACACAGGCCCTTGATGACCACTATTTGGCTATAGTCCCTTTCTCCCCTACACACGATTGTCGGCCGTCTATCCAGATGGCACGCTTTACTTTCGCCTTCTTCTGAACTTTTCACCCGTTCACAGATGATAGTAGAGAGGTGGTCAGAAAGCCCACTTCTTTTCTGGTTTTATATAATCCCACATACCAGATGTGGAAGGGCCTCTTTTTGTTGGGCAAGAGTCAGCCCCTCCTGTGGGCAAGGACGAGGTCATCCTTCTTGTTTTATAAATGAGACCACTGAGACCTGGAGAGGCTACACAGCTTGCCTAGATTGCACTGCTAAGTGGTTTTAGAGGCACTTTGTATTTCTCTTGCTTCCATCCACTGCCCGGCCCTTCTTTTTATGGCAGTCTCTCAAGTCAGACTTCTTGAATCCTCCAGAGCCTCCTCCAAGCGTGTTGTTGTTTGGCCTGAGGCCCATCCAGAGAGGAGGTACCAGAGGGTTCAGAGCCCTCTGAGGTTTGAGGCATGCCTTTTCCATACCTGAGTAACAGGGGAAAGGTAATCCTCCTGAGAGTTACAAGTGAATGGTGTGCGACAAGGGTCTCTTCATGTTTGGTGTAAGCGCTCAGTCTGCCAGCTTTCTGATTGCCTGTAGAGGACCTGGTCGTGTCATCACATTCTCTTGTTATTGGCATCTCTGTATGAGCATTTGTTCTCCTATAAAAATGCTCACTTAAGTTCGGAGATCAAGGAAAACTTACTCTAAGCTGAGCATTTAGAAAGTACGTGATAAGGAAAATGCATTTCAGGAACATTGGTTTTTTTGTTTTTGTTTTCTTTTTAATCTTGTTTCAGGAGCTAAACCGTTTACGAAAGGCCGCCCTGGCATTTGGTTTCCTGGACCTGCTCAAAGGGGTGGCTGACATGCTGGAAAGGGAGTGCACACTGCTGCCCGACACAGCGCACCCAGACGCTGCATTCCAGTTGACCCATGCTGCCCAGCAACTCAAGCTCGCCAGTACCGGCACCTCCGAGTATGCTGGGTATGAGCACAACATCACACCTTTGCACACAGACTTCTCCGGAAGCAGCACCGAAAGAATGTAAAGCCGACTTTGGGAGCCTACCTTCTTTTGTCATTCCAGGTGAAAATGATTTAGGGTAAAAACTTTTTAGTTTGTTCACCTCTGCAGGAGCCACCCGAAGAACTCCGAGGCTGTCTCAGAAGCACCACTTGCTGGTTTCAGTGACTCTGCTAGAGTCTGAGGGAGGTTCCGAAGAGTGGTTGCCAGTTTGGGCTTTGACTTTAGCTTTTGGGGGCTGAGTCTTTAAGCCCAAAAAAACGCTGTTGCTCCCGCAATAGGCACATCTCAGAAACTTAAAGGACTGTTGAGCACAGAGCTCTCTCCCACTTCCTCAGGAAATCTAACCAGCAAGGGCTCTCCAGCTTCCTGAAAGGCACCTTTTTCCTCTTCTCTCTCAACCATAAGGACACTTTCAGGCTCCTGTCCTTAGAATGAGTAGCCCAGACTGTCTGGGGCTTGCTAAATACAAGCCCAACACCTAATTAAGCTTCAGAACTTTCCTTAGAACTTGGGCAAAAACTTGGTGGTAACCCTTTGGTGCTTTTGGTATGTCTTGAGATACAGACTTTTAAACAGCAACCATAAATGTATAAAATGATTCCTGTTCCTTCAAGTTGTTTTTTTTTTTTTTTTAATGAAAATAAAATACTTGATTTTCTATGAAATGGATTCACTGGGAAGCTAATGGGTCTTTGCCTATCTGTCTGTCCTATCACCTGTGTATAATTTCGGCTTCCTAAGCAGCACAGGTTCATAAGTCCCCAGAGTTCCTTGGGTTCCATATGGACTTCCTTGTTTCTGACATTGGTTAGGTCTCTGCCTAAGCCAGGTTCCACCCGTGGATTCTGACGGATCACTGTGGTCAGTTACAGTACCTTTTCATTAGCTAGCTTCATGATATTAGGCAAGTCACATAACTTCACTAAGCTTTGTTTATGTCATCGATACTTTTCAAATTGTTCTGTGGCCTTCCTAAGGTATTACTCCCTCCCTCGGGCTTTAACCCGAGCAACCATTTTAACATGCTATATAATGTTTTCCCTGAACAAAGGACAATGTTATCATTAACAACTTGAAAACCTATCAGACTAAATGATCTTTAAACACAGGTTATTAGGATTTTGATTGTAAATGTTTAATAGAAATACACAATCTTTTGCTTTCTCAGACAGCAATAAAGGAGTTTTAACAATCACTAAGAATACAGGATTCTGCCACAAAGATGCAGCATATACTGCAAAGCTGATCTGTCCAAATAAACATAGAAAGTCAATTGAAAGAACAACGGAAGTTAACACAAACAAGTGTTGACAGAAGTTACAGACATGCAAAATACCCTTCAGTGCAGTGAACTTATAAAAATAAAAATCAGCCAGCCTATGCTAATCAGATGTTTTTAGGTCAAACCAAGTTTCCATATTGGACTCAGAGAAACAGCATAACTCACTGAGTCCCCCTTTCCCAAGAACAGTAGGAATGGCAGAACAGAAAGAGCTATCATGCTCTTAAATTCTTTAATACAAGCATTACTTCTAACATATTTTACTTGGTTAACTTGGAATGTATTAGAGGAAACAATGTTTTTGACAATGACCAAACTTTACAACGTCTGGATTTTCCTCAGTTCCTCTGTTGGTGGGTTTCCTGCCAGGAAGCTTTGTTAAGCTTCTCCAGCCAAAGTTCTCACTCTGTTTTTACCGTCTGACGGCAGACAGGTGAAACCAAAGAAAGCAGGTGTTTTTGAGGTCAGTTCTACCAGTCACTCTGACAGGTACACGAGTAAATGGACTCAGCCAGTGCAGAGGATGATAGCAAGGTTTTTTATGTATGTGCACAGCCTGAGGCCATTTTGTAGGTCTGTTTTGTCTGCTCCCAGGTTGCCACAGGCTGCACTGCCAGCCGCTGTCTTACTGCCAGTTTCACCCTCTGACACCCTGTAGCCATTTGGGTTTGGAACTCTTATAATCTCATTGTTTTCTAACTAATGTTTCATCTTTCTCTAGTGTTGAAAATAGTTCTGATTTAGCCAGGAATGAAGTAAGTGATCATGGTGTTCCAAGGTTCTGACCGGTTTCTCCCAAATCATTCCATGCCTCTCCCGTGCACACACAGGTAAGCACGTAGCAGGTGGTGTTAGAGGCCAAAAGATTCAGAGGTAATAGGTGTTCTCTAGCTCCACTCAGACTCAGAAATGTTTTATCAATGACTGAGTTGAACTTGATTTTCCAAAAATCAATGCCACCCCACTTAACAAGCAACTCCTTGGATACAGAATGTATCCAAGGTCCTGCCTGAGTCACTTTCACAGCCCCCTGTAGAGGCAACAGTGGTTTTTTTCTTGCAGGCAACAGCTGAAAAGAACAATTCCCAGCTGTAAGAATGGCCAGTACCTGGTAGGGTTAGGGCACTGAAGAAATATCTCTGGCCCGTGTGAGAGTGACAGGACAAGGAGTGTGTGGGGGTAGGGCTGAGTCTTTTGCAGTCATTAATGGAACACACAGGAACAAACCTGTCCTCAGATACCAGGAACCCATGTCATGCAAGTACTACACTAAGATAGTTCGGTAAATTCAGGAATGTTATGGGGGAAAAGGGAAGATAGCTTCACTGAGAATTTAATCATTTAACTTTAAAAAAACTTTTACATCAGTACAAGAAGGTAAAACTGTAAGAATTATAGATTAGGCTCAAACTGGCAAGGAATCCTCTCAATCTTTGTTTTCAGTGGACCTTTTTCTTTTTTTGTCCATAGCGCCGCCTGCGCTGTTTATAAAGGTGACGAAAATTTATGTACAACCCTGAAAAAGAAAAGAAGCCAGTGAGAAAAGGGAATCTTGGTCTGTATTTATAACCAGAAGCTCTTGGGGCAAGGACAGTCTCTAGATGTCTGCCTGTCCTATCCACCAGCACTGTGCTCACTGTAGGTGCTCAGAAATTACAGCTTTGAACCAAGTTATTATCAATGCACTGGAGACCCTTCATTTTTTCCCCAGAGGGTTTATAATTTAACTTCCCTCCCATATTCTAATACGAAAATTTTCAAACATGGTGCAAGATTAAAATACTGTACAGTGAACACCACCTAGATTTAAACTTTAAGTTTTTATTATATTCGTCTGAGCACATGCCCACTCCCACCTCATCTTTGATGTATTTCACTGTAAGTAGCACACATCAGTATACTTCACCCCGAAACATTCCATTAATTAGAGTTCAGTTTTTTTTCTTCCTTTTAAAGTAAGATTTACACAAAATTAAATATACAAACCTTAAGTATAAAAACAACCCTATTTTTAGTTCAATTTTTAATATAATAATGTGTATTAAGCACTAGTCTAAAAGGTATGAAATGCTTTTCTAGGAAGGAAATTCGAAAACGCAGGATTTCAGAGTCAGAAAAAACTTTCTAATCCTACTTGACTACTAACTAGTTCTATGGCTTAGCCTCACCTCAGTTTCCTCGTTGTACAAGGTTAAAAACACCTATTTTACAGTATTACTAAGCATGTGTATTTGGAAAAGCACCTTGATCTATATGCAAATGTAACTGTAGTACTGCTTCTAAATTATGCAAATTTGAGATTTCATTCTGACAGATAAGAACCACATTATTCATTGCAAGCAAACTAAATAGGAGTATAAAACCTCGTAAATTAGAGTGTATAACAATATAACCTGAAGAAAAGCCACTAAAGTTAATGCACATTAAAATACTTCTACTCTTCTAACTTTTCTAATAAAGTATTTTAAGGGTCTTTCCAATACTTCTTCCTCTTAACACTTTCAGTATCATGCCTCATGGAGCCTAGTTGCAGTAAACCAGATTTATTTATCCAGTAATAGGGATAAAGAATTTTTTTAATGAGTGCATCTTCCAAATTGAAGCTTACTCCCTTCAAGGGCCAAACATTTTAACGTTTCTGGTTAGAAATCTTTCTAAAATAAATGATACCCTCTCTGAAATAGGAAAGGAGAAACTGCATAAAATTTAACCTTTGGCAAATGATCTACACCCATACTGTGCTTCTGCCACGTGCTGATACCTGGAGGCCCTCCTAAAGGGTATGTGATCAGTACTAACTGATCAAGACCACTGAGCTTTTGGGGTTCTCGGGTTTACTTTTTGTGGTCTTCCTCTCACTGGGGTAGCCACCACGATGGTCCCCAGTGATCCTACCTTCTGGGATCTCATACCCTTGTGTATCCCCGCCTGTCCTCTACTAGGTTGGTCTGTGTAGCCAAGAGAATATGGCAGAAGTGATGGTATGTCACTTCTGATACAAATGAGTCAAATCAACATGGTGTATACTTTACTTAACTTTACGCAATGTTATATGTCAAATATATTTCAATAAAAAATAGATAAAATTTAAAAACAAAGAAGAATGTGGCTTCTGCCTCTCAGACCACTTGTTCTGGGGGAAAGCCATGTCACGAGCAGCCACATGGAGATGTACTGTGGCAAGAAACTGAAGCCTCCTGTCTACAGCTACATGTGTGAGCTTGGAGCAGATCCTCCAGCCCCAGTCAAGTCTGCAGAAACTGCAGTCCCCACTGGGCTGACAGACTGACTGAACCCTCAGGAGGGACCCTGAGCCACCCAGCTAGACTGCTTTCTGACCCTCAGAAACACTGAGAGATAACAAACGTTTGCTGTCTTAAGCAACTAAGTTTTGGGGTAATTGGTTACACAGCAATAGATAACTAACATAGTATCCGCTCTCATATCCTGTTGCTAGAAGAGCAGACAGCCATACTTATTTAGGGCCACCTTCAGATTTTTGAGAACTAAAACAGAAATATATAGATTAAAATGCATTAGAACTTTATCTAAAGTAAACAGTCCTTACAGTTAGGAAGACTTTTAAATTTCTCATATTTTCAATAATTAGGTTTGCTTCTTTTAATTCTTAGTTTTTATGAATTAAGGCAAGAATTTATGATTTTATATAAAAGTAAATTAATATATAGGCAGGTTTTACATAAGGAACAGGGTGGGGGCTAAGGGAGCTTTCCTATTGTTAAGTAGAAGGCTTTACGACATCTCTTGGCTGCTCAGAAGCCTTTACTGCCTTCTTCCTTCCTTGCTGCCAGTGGTATTACCACCTCTGTGAACTCGAGATAAGGAACGTGTCAGTGAAATTATTAAAATGAGCTTCTTAAAAGAGTTTCTTACATTGTTTTAAACATGAAATATGGTGAACTTCCAATGACCAAGAAGATAACCACTGGAGATTTGGAAGATACACGTAGCATATTCTTGTGGGTCCGTTTTATACAAGTAATGTTTTTCTAACTCTACACTACTCTTCTAGAAAGAAAATCCCTAATAAGGACTTGGAAAACTTTGAATCATTTAATTCTACTCTCTAAGAAGTGACTGGAAAAAGTCTATTACAGAGCCAATACTTACCTAAAAATAATATTATGAGATAAATCTGAAGAAAAAAGGAAAATCTAACTTTGATTTTCACTGGATATGGCAATGTGAAACTGAATCTTCCTGTTTCATTGAATACTGGAATGGACTGGATCACTGAGACAGCTGAGAGCAGAAATAACTTGTCAGAAACAAATGAAATACAGTCCCATCTAGCCTCCTTAATACAGAGGGCTCGTGCCTCTTCCATTCCCCACCGCCCTAGTTTTCATGTGATAACCCTCCACGCTGACAAAAGGAAGATGAATGAAGAACAGTCATTTTGATAGCACTGAGATTCAGTCTTCTCTAAAATGGAGAGAAAAAGCCCTACTTGACCCACCCACTAGGTGTGTGTTGGATAAAATGAAGTTGTCGCTAAGAAACTGCTTTGGAAAATTTTAAATACCGTATAAATAGGAAGCATACGATACATGAACTTCCAAACTTTACAAATACATGAGCTTCCAAACTTTACAAAAACGAGCTACTTCCCTGAAACAGTCTGGGTACCATGAGTACTATGGAAGGAAGCCACGAGAAAGAAATTCTTAAAAAGTCTAACACCCATATATCAGACTAAGGCTGGCACAGGAAGAAAGAAAGTTTAGCTATCTTTAGAACTAAGCTTATAAAACCTAGTGTTCTTGAAAGTACCTTCTGCCAAACATCCCAGAGGATACAAGGGTATCCACACAGTGTAACGAAGCCATGTGAGCACCTTCCAATCCATGTCAATGCAGGAAAGCATGTAGAAGGGGTACCTATTGAAAATAAGGAATTCAGATGTGAAAAGCCACTTCAGGTCCTGAATGCAACCTAGAACATCATTCAAGAAGAATCATTTCACAATTAGCCACACATGGCTTCTTCAGAACAGAATTCTAATCCTGGGCTCTCTACCCACAAACTCCCATCACACCCCTCCTCCAATTTTCAGTGGATGTGAACTCTGATGGCAGACTAAGTTTAGGTCCTAAGACAACCTTCTTTGGAATAGTTCACTATATGGAATGAATGCTCAGAAGCTCTTTGGCTTCATTCCTAGTTCTAAGTTCCAAGAGGTAAAGATGACAAACACTGTGACAATTTATCCCTGGATCAACGAATGTCATCAAAATTTCAGTATACAAAAGACCCCTAATCTAGAATCAGACACTCTATTTAAAACACAAGGGGCACCTGGGTGGCTCAGCCAGTTAAGCAGCCGACTTCAACTTGGGTCATGATCTCATGGTTCGTGAGTTTGAGCCCCGCATCAGACTCTGTGCTGGCAGCTAAGAGTCTGGAGCCTGCTTCAGGTTCCGTGTCTCCCTCTCTCTCTGCCCCTCCCCAGCTTGCACTCTGTCTCTCTCAAAAAATAAGCATTAAAAAAAATTTTTTTTGATAAGAGATAAAAGAATTTTTAACAGAGTTAATATTAAGTACCTATAATCTCTTTCACGTTTGTATTAGCAGATTTAAGAGGGTATACGGGATACTATGGGACCAGACCACTGTTAAGATAAATCTAGGATTGCTAACTACTTCTCCCTCTCAACTATTAAGTTTGCAAAATACTAGAGCTCAGGAGTCAATGTGCAAAATCCTTTCTCCACCTGACTGAAAAAGAAATGGAATATGTATGGTCTGGTAGATAAGAACACCTCTACTATTAATGGATATATTTTTTAAAGATATTTTTTTCTATGACAATTGAGAATGGAAGAATCATATAAGGCTGATTCAAATTTCCGTAATCTTGTAGTAAAAGATTTCTATCATTCCTTCTAGAAGGCTGGTATTCACTGTTTCCATCCAGCCTGACTACTCCTTCAACCCCGTGTTTCTTCAGCTTTTTCAAAAATATTCCCACGTGGATGAGTCCTCTCTTTCCAACAAGACAGCAAGAAGGGTAACACAGGTCTTTCATTTCTCCAGATCTCTCCTCCCTCTGTTCTCCAGTGCCTACACTGGTATTATGATTGCTTTAAAAAAAAAAAAACACTGTGTGTCTCCTTTGCAGAGCTCACAGATTCAGCTAGAACTCTCCACATATGTAGAACCTTAATTTCAAACCAAATGAGACTCGGAATAAAACAACTCCCTCCAGAAGAGAGCTGTTCCAGAGAAAGGAGAAGCATTCAAACAACCATGCTGGCATTTCTACCCACCTGAAGATTTCAACTGCGCTCCATGTATAAAACACAAAGAAAACCACAGCTTTGTTTTGCATTTCTTCCATGGTGCCAAAGATGATAAACAAAATGAAATTTCTTCCAAGAAGCTATTAAAAGAACCCAGAAGAGAGAAAAAAAGTTTAAAAATATATTCTACAAAAACTATGTAAAAGTGTCATCCAAAACCGAGCCCCACTAAATTCAGGGGCTCTTTTCCTCCAGGAAAAGACTGAGCTCAGGTAGTTTAATTCTCTGTTCCAGCTTTGGAACAAGTTAAGTATCCAAATCAGTCTTTCTGAATAGACTGTGTGCATGTGTGTAAATACATATCATTACGAATAGTTCAAACACGGTTTAAAGACTACTGCCAAATGGACATCCGTGTCTGCGTAACCCAAGAACAAGAACATCACCATTGTGGGGGTGCCTGGGTGGCTCAGTCGGTTAGGCGGCCGACTTCACTTCAGGTCATGATCTTGCGGTCTGTGGGTTCGAGCCCCATGTCGGGCTCTGTGCTGGCAGCTCGGAGCTTGGAGCCTGCTTCCGATTCTGTGTCTCCCTCTCTCTCTGCCCCTCCCCTGCTTGCTCTCTGTCTCTTCTCAAATAATAAACATTAAAGAAAAAATATTTTTTAGAACATCACCAGTGTGGCAGCCCCTCATAAGTAACTACTATCTTGTCTCTCTAGAGGTTTACTAGTTATGTACATATTTCTAAACAGTACACCGTTTCACTTTGCCTGTTTTTAAACTTTAAGAAACAGAATGTATTATTCTCTGACTTCTTACTCCATGTTTTGTTTCCAAGATTCGTCCGTGCTAGTGCGCATGGCACTGTCCGACTCCAGGAGGTTTTACTCACACTGCATTCTATGTGACTCGCACTCCCTGGGGCCATGCGTTATGACAATAACTCAATCTGTCCCTTCCATCTTGCCCTAGAAATGCTATCCTCATTCTAATCGCAGTAGTCCTTGATGTACAAAAAATATTATTCCATATTAGTGGGTCATTTTGTATCCTCTTTTATTTTTTAGACTGAACAAAACAGCCTCTCTCTAAGAACAGAAAACCTAGAAATAAGTCCACTGCATTAACACACTTTACCATGCAATGGATACTATCAGAATGCCGGAGCAGGTGTACCATAAAAGAATAGAACTATAAAAACAGTACTCCAGGGATGCCTGGGTGGCTCTGTTGGTTAAGTGGTCAAGTTTGCTCAGGTCATGATCTCGAGGTTTGTGAGTTCGAGCCCTGTGTCGGGCTCTGTGCTGATAACTCAGAGCCTGGAGCCTGCTTTGGATTCTGTCTCTCTCTCTCTCCCTGCCTCTCCCTCTCTCTTGCTCTGTCTCTCTCAAAAATGGATAAAAAAATTTAAAAAATTAAAAAAAAAAACAAAAACAAACAACAGTACTCTGGAAGAGACTAACCAACCATCACCTGGTTCCCCCTGACTCCAGGTCAAATACTATATTTGATAGTATACAATCACATAGGTAGGTAATAGGGCAAGGAAATTAAAAGACTCCTATTCCTGATAGCAATCTTCCAAATGTTAGGAAATAACACAGATGTATGGTGAGGGGGAGAATCCCCACACAAATCAAAAATGTTACCTTCATATATGGAAGAAAGTCCAAAGTGAAAAGATCTCCTAGGATCACACTGCCTTCACCTACCCAAGATGGGAGGAGACTAAGCATGTCTCTACCTGAGAAGACTGTGGGTGAGGTCTTTCTGCTCCTGCTTGAAAGTCAAGTTTTGCTAGTTTTAAAGCCCTTTTTATCACTTTGTAATTTCATGAAGATATTATAAACAAGCAAAAAAAAAAAAAAAACACAGATCTGAAATGGCAAAAGTCTACTTTGGAAATTATCCCTGTGGCTTACAGTTTTCCTCTTTTTTCAGATAAAAACAATGCTATTCCTGTGTAAAGAGATTTTTACTAACTGAGACTTCTCAGCAAATTGTGGTGTACCTACTAAATTCTGAAATCTTTCATTCCCCACCCTAGAAGTCAATTACTCAATACCTGGATAAGACAAGGTATCACTGGTGACTTAATGACTCCAATTGCTGCATTGATAGTTTCCACAACTGACAGCATCTGGCAGAAATACATCATGTCGGCCAAGGTGTGGAACGTGTCATAGAAGGACTCTATGGGACAAATATACATTAAGGGTAAATCAAATGGCAAATTCCAACAGAATTATTTCTCAAACTAGATACCTCCTTACAAGAAAGGAATTTAAGGAAAAGTAAAATAAACAGCCCCTCAGATTCGAGCTTAGTATCCAAACAAAGCTGGCGGGGAACAGGCCTGTGGAGTCATAAATTGTAAACTCTACTGGTTAGCAGAGAGTTAAAACACATAAACCCTGTATGTCCTTCTCATTTTAAAAGGCAAGAAAAAAAGTATACCTATACTTCATTCAGTTATTATAAGCTGAAAAGTCTATGTATCAGGAACAGTGGCTAAGTCTTTTCAGATCCATTATCACATTGAATTTAAAGCTAAAATTATGGGGGCGCCTGGGTGGCGCAGTCGGTTAAGCGTCCAACTTCAGCCAGGTCACGATCTCCCGTTCCGTGAGTTCGAGCCCCGCGTCAGGCTCTGGGCTGATGGCTCGGAGCCTGGAGCCTGTTTCCGATTCTGTGTCTCCCTCTCTCTCTGCCCCTCCCCCGTTCATGCTCTGTCTCTCTCTGTCCCAAAAATAAATAAATGTTGAAAAAAAAAATTAAAAAAAAAATAATAAAGCTAAAATTATGTCACATATATTGAATGCAATGTAGCCTCTTAAAAACCTCAAAAGTGTGCAATCATAAACAAACGCAGATGTGTAAAAATACTAAATAAAATTAACTTTCAAAAACCTTATTTATGTCTATTTCGTCCCTATAATTCTTACTCTAAGAATCTATCCTAACTAAAAAATCTAAAATGAAAAAACCAAAAGCTTTTTAGGAATAAGGCTGCTCTCTGAAACATTTCTAAGTGCATTACAGTGCAAAGAGTCTAAATGCCTAAGCGTATGGAAAGTTTGAGTAAACTACAGTTTATCTACTTCATGGAATAGTATGTAATATTTAAAGTGACATGGGGCGCCTGGGTGGCGCAGTCGGTTAAGCGTCCGACTTCAGCCAGGTCACGATCTTGCCGTCCGCGAGTTCGAGCCCCGCGTCGGGCTCTGGGCTGATGGCTCAGAGCCTGGAGCCTGTTTCCGATTCTGTGTCTCCCTCTCTCTCTGCCCCTCCCCCGTTCATGCTCTGTCTCTCTCTGTCGCAAAAATAAATAAACGTTGAAAAAAAAAATAAATAAATAAAGTGACAGTTATTGCCTATATGACATCAGCCAATGTGGTATCAGTTCTGAGTGGACCATAATATAAAATCCTTTACTTTTCATATTGATCCTCACTTGACCTCCTGCCTCCCCACATTCCTCTTTGCGTGCTACTCAGGGTACTGCTGACAATTTGGGCAGGACAATTCTTTGGCCTTAGGAGTTTATTAGGATTTTTGGCTCCCTGCCTATCTTTTAAAAAACAAATTTTATGTTTGTTTGTTTGTTTGTTTATTTAGAGACAGAGTGCAAGCAGGGGAGGGGCAGAAAGGGAGAGAGACACAGAATCTGAAGCAGGCTCCAGGCTCTGAGCTGTCAGCACAGAGCCCGATGCAAACCCACAAGCTGTGAGATCATGACCTGAGCCGAACTCAGAAGCTAAACTGACCGAGCCCCTCAGGCGCCCCATGGCTTCCTGCCTATTAAATACAAGTAGCGCCTCCAAGGATCTGGCACAGGTAGGCCAGGTGCCAAACAAAGATGACCCTTGTAGGATCCTCGAAAGAATATGGTTTAAATATTACTTAAATAAAAGAGGCCCTTCCAAAAACTTAAACCATCTACTATTTTTGCAAAAATGATCCACTTTACAATCCTACTACAAAGTCAAATGTGAAATGAAGAATGGTATATACGGTGTTATTACGTAATTTTGCCAGAAAAATTCCACTAGTAATTTAGTTCAAAATTTGACTAATTCTTTGCTTTGAAGAATTAATGCAAAATTACAATGTGAATTTTGCTATATATAAGATAAAAATTTTATTCTAATTTTAAATCTCCCTGTTTCCAAGACAAAATCCCAATCAAATCACAGTGAAATTCGGGTGTCCATTTAAAGGGAATTCCCTTTAAGGTGGCATTTCTCCTGGACAAATCTTTGAAACATAAGAACCTCCCATGTTGAAACAGAAAGCTGTGACTTAAGATTTGGTATATATGGTGGGGTTGCCTGTATCAGACTTTGGCTCAGGTCATGATCTCACCATCTGTGGGTTCAAGCCCCGCATCAAGCTCTGTGCTGACAGTTTGGAGCCTGGAGCCTGCTTTGGATTGTGTGTCTCCCTCTCTCCACCCCACCCCCCACTCGTGCTCTGTCTCTCTCAAAAATAAATAAGCATTAAAAAAAATTTTTTTTAAAAAGATTTGGCATATGGTGAACAAAAATCACATCTTGTGGCTTTGCTCTGATTTTATAGGAAATTCATCCCTGTTTCAATTCAGGACTAGAAATCTGGCTTCTAAAATGATAGTTACAAAGAATATTAATAACATTAAAATGGTTCTAATTTTTTATTTAAAAAATTTTTTTAATGTTTTACTTATTTTTGAGACAGAGAGCAAGCGGGGGAGGGGCAGAGAGAGAGGGAGACACAATCTGAAGCAGGCTCCAGGCTCTAGGAAGCTGTCCTTTACAGAGCTGATGCAAGCACTTGAACACAGGCGATTAGAATCTCTTGACCTGAGCTGGTCGACAGCAGCACCAACTTCTTCAGGCACCAGTAGCCCCATTTATAATTTTATTTTTAAAACAAGACAGAAAGTTGTGTACACAGTATGATTATAACTTTTTAAAGTTTATTTATTTTGAGAGAGAGAGTGTGTGCACGTGGACACGCGTGAGTGGAGGAGGAGCAGAGAAAGGGAGAGAAAGAATCCCGAGCAGGCTCTGCGCTGTCAGCAAGGAGCCTGACACAGGACTTGATCCCACAAACTGGGGAGATGTGACCTGAGCCACAAATTAAGTGTTGGCAGCCCAACCAACGGACTGAACCCACCCAGGTGCCCTAAAATTTTTAACCATGGGAGAACAACTAAAAGGAAATGTATGGATATATTAAGTGATGGACAATGAAGCTGTTACCTTCCTTTTCCCTTCTTTTCCCCACACCTCCACCTGGTTTCCCTCACCTTCCAAAAGTTGCTTCAATCAGCACACTTACTTTGATGATTTGAAAAAAAAAATGTTTTAAGTAGCAAAGGCATACTCATCTGTTAATGAGATACCTGAATTTAAATAATTGATAGTATAATATAGTATACTCTATCTGCACAGTATACGTGAAAATCCTTAAACAATTTGTAATCTTGCAATTCCATATCAGGAATTGCTCCTAGAAAATTTTGTGGGTTGGAAAAATATACATCAGGATGCAGAATCTGTTGCTTTGTCATGGAAATGGGATTATGGGAGAATGTCTTAAGTCTTTATTTTCTGATTTTCTGAACAGTTTCTGCACCTTTTATAGCTAGAAAAAAAATTAATGTTTACTAGAAAAAAAGTATTCCTTTAGAGAATTCTCTGGGTTGGCTCCAAGTCAGTTAAACTCGACTTTGGCTCAGGTCACCACGCCATTTGTGGGTTCCAGCCCGTGTCTATGTGCTGACAGCTCACAGCCTGGAGCCTGCTTTGGATTCTGTGTCTTCCTCTCTCTCTTTCCACAAAATGAATAAAGCATTAAAAAAAAAAAAAAAAAAAAAAGCATTCCTTAACGAGAACTAGATAAGCTCCAAACAGGGTTTCTACATAAGCCCAAAAAGATTTAGCTTCTGTTTCCTTACATAAGAAGTTTGAAATCGTGCTTAAGTATATGTGTGGTATTTGCTATTTCCCAACACCTTGTTCAAAAGGAGAAAAGTGTTAAGAGACAGAGTGTGGAGTGCCAGAGCCCCAGATCCTTACTACGTTTTTTGAGGACTGATAAGGGAAAATTAAACAGCTTGGCATTCAGAAGGGGGTTAGGAAGGGTTAGTAGCCAAAAAATAGAAATTACAAATCCAAGCAGCAAACACACAAAATAACTTGAGCTTCTGGACTAGATCATATGATGGCCAGCAGGCTTGCAGGCGATGGAGAATCATCTAACTATGTTAAATTATTTATGTATTTGCATAAACCTATTGTTCGTTTCGTGGACCTTTGATAAACCCAGAAAATAAAAACTACAGAGTCTGGGGCCTTCTTTTTTAAAAGTATGGGGCCTCGATCACTTGGGGCTGGGGCACTGACAGCTGGGGAAGTTCTGCCACTGTGCTTTGCAGAATTCTAAGGTGTTGAAGGCTGGGAAAACAACATCTTCCTTCTTTCAAATGACTCGAGCTAACTACCTGGGGTTTCACGCGATACTAACCTCAAAATTGGAAAATTTGGACTGAAAAATTCACAGCAGACTTCTGATTTTTATTCTCATAAAAAAGGTTTATATATTCCATTATACTTATTTTTCCTCTATTTATTTTTTATAAAACCAGGAAAATGTCAAATATCCACATCCAAACCATCTGAAATGGTGCATTTCCTTCCGATCTTTTTGCATGTATTGGCTCAGTTGTTTCCGCTTTTTGTAGATGTGATGAAGCTGGAAGAACAACTTTATATATTATACCTTCCAGCCTATCATATTTCATCATATACAAACTCATGAATATTTTGTCATCTTACATATCATCATTCCATATTCTAAAGTAATCCACGTTGATGGACATCTGGTAGTTTCTAACATTCAGTAATAAAAGTAATACCATAATGTAGTCTTTTGAAAAAGCTGTTTTTGCCAGTTTCAATGACTTCTTTGGGCTGCTCATTCGAGAGGAGTGAAATAACCAGGGTTAAAATTGGTGGTGGTCCGAGTTCTGGTAATGCTTGCGATTGGGTTTTGCCGAAGTCATATTTATGTACCACTCCCAGTAGCCACTACTGTGTATTTTAAGCAGCAAATATTCTCTTAGGTATCTTTTTAACTTTGAAAAACGGTAAAATCTTTTATTTCCTTCATCATTATTGAGTTAAACATTTTTCTGTACATTCGGTGAA